CAGAGACGGAAGCGGGTTTAGGGGAATGGCGGTGAGGTGCATGGGAGAAGGAGAAGGAATCCCCTGAGGAGGACAACCTGGAAGCTGCCGAAATGCTGTGTTGGGGACACCGTACCTGTGTTCTGTTTGCTTTTGCGAGTGCATTGCTCACTTGGCGGGTGTCATTCAATTCGTTATCGTCATGTACGAGTGTTGCATACTGTAACGGTGCAGACCAGAACAAGAACCGACCTCTCAATACAAAGTACAAGATAGCGTAGCGGAAGACTTAGATACCAATGATCTGAACAATCAATATTGCAATGCAGCCCCGAACATACATCATCATCATCATTCCATGGTGTGAAGGGGTCTGGCGCTCACACAGGAAGAATGCACCAGCCCCAACCATACACAGACGAAGAAGAGGGGAAGATGGGAATGTCGTCAACACCAAGTCTTCGGCACAGGCCCAAACAGTCCCTCGTCAAAATGTCCGAATCCCAATGTCGAGTCTGGATCCAATGTCGTCAAGTCTCAAGTCACAACTCTCTCTCTCTATGTCGTAGTCTGCTGATACTGAGAAGTCAGGTGGTGAGAGGGTGAAGAAGAGATGGTGGACTTAGAGGAAGAAGAAGAAGAACTCTCTCTCTCTCTCTGTGTCCAGTACTAACCTGTGAAGATGGCGCCTTGATGCAGGTACCTCGAAGATGGAGCTGGAGCTATGGCGCCACAGGTAAGTACCGCTGGCCTCCGCCAGCCATCTCTCTCCAATGCTACTACTACCAGCGCCCTGCGCTGAAGACTACTCCTGCAGCTATTAGCGCCCAGCGCTGAAGACTACTGCTAGCGCTAATACTACTGCAGCGCTCCTCCTAAGTGCTGCGCCCGAATCCTGAAGACTACTTGTGCCTACTGTCCAACTACCTACCCGTGTAGTGCATGGGAACTTCCTATGTACTACTCGGCCTGCCTCCTGACTGCAGGGCGAGGCAGTCCAGGAGGCTGCTCTTGCCAATGCCGAAGGGAGTCAGGGGCTGCCGCTGCAGCTCCTGCTTGAGGCTGTCGTGGGAACAGGCTAAAGATAGCCTGTTCCCGAAACCCTGGTTTTGTGCCTGAGTCTTAGGGTAGGTCGATCTTATGAGGGCCCGAAAGTGGCCCTCCGTTTCAGGCTGAAAAGCCTCAGGGCTGAAAAGCCCTGTTATAGGCTGAAAACGAAATAGGGCCTGCATGCCCTCATTTTCAGTTTCAGGCTGAAACGACATGGGGCCTGTAAGCCCTATTTTCTAGGCTTTTAGGCTGAGAATGCGGGACGGGCCCTGCAGGCCCATGTGGCTACTCAGTATGCCACAACGAGTGACCTGCTTTGCCCTTTGGGACATCCGTTAAAACTGGAACGATGAGAAGATTAGCATGGCCCCTGCGCAAGGATGACACGCGTAAATGGAGGTATTGGTGGCATTGTAAAAAAAAAAAGTAAAAAAGAAAAAACTTCAAAAAAGGGGATTGTCTGGGCTACCATCCGGGCTGCCTGGGTCACCTTCTTTGAGTGGGCGGCCCGGCCGTGCGAGGACCATCGAAGGGTCCAGCAAAAAAAAATAATAAAAAAAAATCGAAAAATCTGAAAAAAATTAAAAAAAGCTATGTGATGCACAAAAATAAACTGACCAACTTTTGCCTGAGGGTCACATTGAAGGCACCTGCTGCACGAGTGGTAGGGTATATCCGCTGGCTTGCAAAAATGCCATCGTGGTGGGAGTTGGCATTCTTTGGTAGTGGCGAGTGTGGGTGGTGGTGCAATTCGCCCTGAATCGTGAGGGGGTGGGTGGGGTTTGTGGGGTCTGTGTCCGCAGTTGGGGTTCTGTGGATACGGGCCCGTGCCGCACGGGTGGCAGGGCGGTTATGCTGGGTATGGTGACATGTTGGACGGTTGCCTTTTTTAGTGGTTTCGTTGGTTGTTTTTGCACTGTGCCTGATGATTTTGATTGTTCTTCATCTGGTTTTGCGGCCCTGGAATGAACCAGTCCGGAGTGCCTGGATCATTCCTGTATGGCGGTGGGCCGTTTGTTAAAAAAAATAAAATACAAATAATTTAATAATATCAAATATTTACCAAATAGGAATATATATGTAAATATATATATATTGCTTGTTGCTTGTTGCCCCCTGTTTTGTTGTATTTGGCTGTTCCCTTCCTCTTTTCTTTGCCTCTTTGCCCTTTGGCTGTGTGCAAGTGGGTCGATATGACACATGGGGGTGGGGGCAGCCGCCGCTCAATGTACATCGACGTGGGCCGCCTTGTACGCAAGAGGTTCTGAACAGGGGGAGTTGTAAGGAAGAAGATAAAAAAATGAATTTATTTTTCTTTGTTTTCTTTCTGTTTTCTTTTTGCTTTTGCGCTCTGATAACTTTGTGACAATATATACTCGGACGTTGCTAGCTCTCGAGGGTCGACCCTGTACTACAAGGCTCTTTCTTTAGCTATGTTTTTTTTTTTTGGGGGGACAAATGCTCTAGTCTATTCGTGGAGAGCAACACGCGCTGGGAGCCAGGCCCAGCATCCCATATAGAATTATACAAATGATTTGAAATATCAGGGCCATTACCTGGCTTCGGCTAAGAACAATCTGAGAACTATGAAAAAGATTTTAGAAAATTTAGCAAAGAATATACTTTTTCTAATTCTCCTTTCTATCCTTTTTCTTTTGCTTTGCTCTTCCCCGTTGTTGGGGTATTTCGTTTTACGGACCTACTGTATGGTTCCGTTTTTTCAAGTGTTGGTTATGGTGTATGGTATATTTGGTACTCTTTGTCTGCATCCCGGGTTGGTTTTGTCTCGTTGTTCGGGCCACGTGGCGGTGGTTTCATGTGGGACCTGTCATCCATTTTTTTCTGTTTGGCATCCTAGTTGGCTGGTTCCCGTTGTTTGTCCTATAGAAGGGGGCGGTGCTTTTAGGTGGGAATCGTCATCTGGGATTGTCTTTACATAGTTTTTTTTTGCAGGCAAGGGTGTTGATTGCTATCCTGGTTGGTCATTGTCCCATCGTTTGGCCTGTGAAGTAGGGGGCGGTGCTTGCATGTGGGACTTGTCATCTAGGATCTGTTATGTTTGTTTTTTGGCACCCTTGTCCGCATCCCGGTTGGTTTTGTCCCATTGTTCGGTTTATTTTCGCGAGCGTAGCGGTGCTTTCATGTGGGACCAGTCATCCGTTTTTTGTTGTTGTTCGGCCTATGAGAGCATGAATGGTTTAGGAATGGGAATACCGACGTCTTGATGACGAACAAGGCCATCTGCTGTATATAGTTTTTTTTTTGCAGACAAGAGTTTTGTCCTGGGTGGTCTTGTCCCGTTGTTTGTCCTGTGAAGGAGGGGCGGTGCTTGCATGTGGGACTTGTCATCTAGGATCAGTTTTTGGTGCTGTTGCTTGTTGCCCTCTGTTTTGTTGTATTTGGCTGTTCCCTTCCTCTTTTCTTTGCGTCT